ACGGTGTCAAGTATGTCATTTTTTTTTAATTTTTTCTTTTTGTCATGTCTCGGGATTACACCGCGGGTAAAATGCAGTATATTCCAATGAGTATTACATTTACACGTTACCCGAAATTTTCGAAACAAAAACGAATTCAGAGGAAAAAACGATTTTCCGTTAATGTTTCCTGACGGAGGAAAAAAACGTTTCGTACCGTTTCTTATTTGTTTTTTTTTTTTGTCTCCCGCTGCGCGATGCTCTCGCCGCGCTGCAAACAACCGAAATAAATTCCGTAGTGTTTAGCAGTATAATACAGTGGGCGGTTAAACGGTGTTTTCGGGCAGGTCGACGATTATTACGAAGTTTGTCTGGCGGGCTGACGGGGCGATGACTAGGCGCAATCGAATCGTTCGTCGTACAATAATACATACCTACACTGTTATTTGTATACGTCATATTATTGTACTTACAACGGGAGATACACCCGGTATTATAAACATCATTATATTTCGTGTCGTTAAGTACTACACGCATCGCCTATGTCCGCGCATTGCCAACAACCCGAGCACCCGGTGTAATATACCGATATGTCAGATAATCGGTTGAGATCATTTGCTCGTCGTTTTATAATTGTGATTCGATTAAAACGATTATCATCATAACAAGCGGTCGATTCTTTAGAAAACGGCGAAAAACGTTGCAGATAAAAATATCGAAAAACCGTTTCTATACACCGTCTGACCTTAAAAGATCAAAAAAAAAAAAAAAAAATCGTCCTTTACGCGTTCGATACAATAAAATATATTATACTCGCATACCAATAAGATCGTTACAGAAATAAATTGCGTACGATAATATTTACGTTGGTTTCAAATAAAAATTATATGTTCTCGATACAGGTGATCGTTGATAAAATATGATAAAGATATTTCAATAATCCGTTGAATTTTTAATGCTATGCTATTTTTTTTCGTGGACGAAAATCATTTACAATTTATAGTAATCATGTTGAATCGTTTTACATGAAAAATGTCTTAAAAAAAGTTTAAACTAAAATAAGATTTGCCGAAAAAATGTAAAACAAAAATTAAGTTAAAATATTCATTTCTACGACAAAATAGAAAACAAACATTTTCCATTTTCTAATCTAGCTTTGTGTATTAAAACGAAGGAAAATCCGGAAACGCAATGAAATCTTAATGATATCATAAACTAAGTGTTCCCGCAGCGAGTACGTTTACGGACGTTTTGACGATACGGGAAAAACGCGAGCGGTTCGACGGGCCGGAAACGTTCGTAAATTTCCGTTTTCGGTACCCGGACGGGGAATTCCGGACATTTCTTCGATGACGGCGGTAAATTTGTTGTTTTATGTGGGACACGCGCTCTAGACGTTTTTCGACACGTCAATTCGGCCAGTTTGCCGATCGAAAATACGTACGATACGTATTATTATCATCATCTTCACCTATATATTATTTATTCTATAAATCCCGCGAACGCGTCACGTACGTAATATCCAACAATAAACACACGGTATGTATGTTATTGTTGACGGTTGTTGTTCGCCATTGACACCTTAATGATATTGTAGTGGCCGTGAGTTTTCGAACACAATGCCCGGGTACAGGCGACAGCATTAAGCGCATAGGAACTACCGATGCAGACGCGGTCGCTCGCTCCAGTATTCAATTATTGTACAACACAAACGGGTGGGTATATCGTATTTTTTTTTCCCAGCCGTCGTCGTCGTCGAGGTGTCCAGCGAAGAAAGAATCGATAACCGTTAACGCACTCGATCCGACGGAATTCCATCGAGTTATTTAATAAAGAATATTACTATGCAGTATTGAAGGAGTCTAAGTCCGGACTATGGGTCCAGTGGTCTCCGTGCCCAAACTTGAAAATAGGCCAACTTTATAAACGTTTTATATAAATGCTTGCGCTACGAAAATGTTTAACGAACATTTTACACGCATTTGCGACGGCACAACGGAGTATTTACGTCCACGGGCCTGGATCATGGTCCTCTCTGCCCCTCCCCCCTTATCTAAGATTAGGTTACGTTTCAATAGTTTAGAATTGTAACGTTATTATCTTTGAATTTTATTCGAAAATAGATACTGTTGCACGATTTGATAGCGTATCTGATTTTGGAGACATTTTCCAGCGGTTTTCTTGTCTGGGTCACATGAGCTTTGGGAATTAGGAAAATATAGTTGTTTTTATTGTAAAATTAAATATTTGATCAAACTTCAATATGAATTTTTCGAACTGTTTTGCGAGAAGGTGTGTTTTTTTAAGCTTAAACCCTTCATACTGACCGTCACATGAAGATGGGTAGGTGATATTTTGTACACGTATTGTGTCAGTGTTCTTAAGGACGAGCTTTTTGGAAGATTATAGTTTTCGAACCTCTCTAAAATTTCACTGTTTCCAAATTGGAAATAGTTTAACCGCAGTATAGTGTAATATACTATTAAATTTATAATCTTCTTATCTAAATAAAAAAAAAAGAATAATAATTGTTCATTACTTATCATAAAACTATGTGCTAAAAGCGTACCAAATATAACACACGTCTAGATTTAAATATGGTCATGCGATGAATCATGTAGCTTTGTAATTAGTTTATAAATCGTTTATTTTAATATAAACTAAATATTTTACCTATCGTTCGAACTCAAAACTATTAGTATGTGTGTGTACATATTTATCTAGATGTCTTAATTAATTATTTCAGATAATTTATTTACCATTCATCTGCATATTAATATGTAAATATACATATCTATACGTATAGATAAGACACACCATTGATAATGTTGATCGGGTATTTTAAAACGGCGCGATAAAAAACGAACCCGATAAGTAGATAATTAAACATCTAGTCGGAATGATGCCGGCGTGTTTATAGGTATATTGACGAAAAAAATAAAATAAAAAGAAAGTCGAGCAATGTAATGTTATACGTATGTAACAGTGTAACACACTAAAATTGTTGCAGTTATTTTATTGATAAAGACCGGCGGTGCAGTCTAAATAGAAAAAAATAAAACGTGTAATACAAAATACTTACGATCGATCCGATAGAAATAGCGTTTGGAAAACGCTATTTAGAAACGGCGCGTTGTTTATAGAATACCGGTAGGATTGAATGATAAAAAAAAAAAAAAAAATAAATGAAAAAAAACAAACGGTTCGCGTTTACATTTCGATTATTGTATAGGTATATTATATTGTATACGCGTATCTATTTATTCGAATCAACAGTTAAATGTTTTTTTTTCCTCTTCCTCCTCGGTAGGTAGGTACGTGCTTGCATCGTATGCAATGTCATCACAACAATATCGATGAACAACACAATGCGGAGTGTAACGATATTAAACACACGGTAGTTTTATTTCTCCGCCGTATAAAAGAAAGATAAAAATAAACCGCTGTATACACGTGAAAAAAAAAAAAAATAAAAAAACACATTCGCGCGGCGGCGGCCGGTGTAACAGTGTCTGTAATAATATAATATCACGTGTATTATAATGGTCGATTCTCGGCCGATTATCGCGTATTTCCGATAAAACAACGAGCCGATTTTTATGCGGTAAACGATTCCGAAAAAAATATTTGCATAAATATTATATATTTTCGATAATGGTCACTTTAGATTCCGGGTGAAGCGAAGAAGATACTAGTTTTACGTTGTTGGATGATTTTGTTTTTCCCGTGAAACACTTTTTCGGTTAGTAAAAGCGCTCGCGAATTTTTTTATTTCGCGCGGTAAATTGAAATAAAACGAATTGAGATAAAACAAAAAAAACGAGAAATTATAAGAAATGTGGGTATTAATTTAAAAAAAAGCCGTCTCAGGATAACGGGGACGGGTATACTCACTGTTATATGCAATTTAATGTAAACCGTAACAATAAAACATCGGTAACGGAAAAACGATTCTGAGCGGAGTTCAGTTAATAGTGATATGCTTTGTCAATAATATATATGTCATATTATGATAAAACAATTACATTTTCATTATATATATATATTCTTTAATTATATGTGTTTAATGTATCGATTGTCCCGTTTTTCCGGAGTTTTTCCCGGTTTTACCATGTTTTTTTACTGATTTTTTACATTTACTGCGAAAACTGAACACTTTACAGTACCTCTCCAGTCGGATTTTCTTTTAGAAAAATCGCTTTTATTATAAATTGGATCAAAATTGCTGGTAGAAAAGTCGTTCACAGGAAAAAAGAAGGCCGTAATATATTTAACCAATGTCTTCTTTTATTATGTTTTTCCGTTTTTTCTCAGTTTTTTTTTCGGTTTACACAATTCCAGGAAAAACTATTGGAAAAACCGAAAAATGACGTCTCTACACAGATTTCCTTTCAGAAAAAGTGCTACACTTAAAAATAGGAGCAAGATTTCTGGTAAAAATGTTGCGCGGATAAAAAAAAAAAAAATATATATATATATATATATATATTTTTGTAAAACCGTAAGCTTGTTCGCTCCATTCAGAATGTAAAACACCGAATAGGGCCACCGCCACATATCCATTCGTGCGTGCGCAAGTACACCACGCGGCCGCGGCTGTCGCGCCCTGAATATTCGTCTGTAACCGTGTTTTTGATCCAGCGGACCAAAGAATTTGGTCGACCGAACACGCCGCCGAGAGTGTCGTCGGAAATTCGTCAACTGCACGTATCGCCGGGCGTGTAACTATGAAATGCAATATTATTGTTACGCACGTTACCCGGCGGTTTGCGCGAAAAACGCCATCGATCATCGCGTTATACTGTACCCGTATAAATAATATTTTTATTTATAAAGATAATTCCGAATCGAACCACGAATGCCACACGCAGGTTGCCTATACGGCCGGACACTATGTCGAAAACCGCACGGCGACGGACAAAAATACACTGTATACGTTAATATTATTATTATGAATAGAGAATCCGGATTTCGATAGATTCCGAGTGGCTGTACGAAAACGGGTCCGTTTCGAGAACGCGATGCGTCGTAAACGTGAGCAGGCAACGGCCGTGCTCAGAAGAAATACGGCTAAGTAAAACTGTCGAGAATATTTACCGGGTCTAGATGTCGTATCAACAATTTTAAATGCCTATAAATAGCCCGAAAAATGCGACAGCGTTATGGATATATTACCACGTCTATAAAGTGCCAGCATGAAACGTATTCGGTGTCGATTTTGCAGGTTCCTTCCATTTTTCTATACCGTATTAGAAAACGGAAAACCGTTTTAGTCAATAGAAAAGCAAATTGGAAATTAACAGAAACCGTTATCGCGTATATGTTTCAGTCTTTTCGCCGTTATTGAGGATAGCACAAAGGCTCGTAGCTAGACCAAATCATCAAAGGGGACAAACCAAAATTTTTGGGGGGGACATTAGAAAGAAAAATACCATGTACACATTTAATACATGTCGGAGAACAACAATTAGGTCCAGGAGGACAGTGCGCTTCCTCTTGCCCTCCCCATGGCTACGGGCCTGAAACTACAATAAAAAAATATGAAGATAATCTTTTCAATGCAAAAACTAGATCCGATGTTTTACAATAAAATAAAGCTTCCTTGTCGTTTTTGTTTTTTTTTTTACTGTTATCAATATTTCTAGTAAAGAAAAAGAAATCCATAAAGAATACATCATAATAAAACCAAAATACTTCCCTTGCCACAAAAACTAAAAACAAAAGTGCGCAATATCGACAGCGGCTCGATCCCGAGGGACGACATCAATCGAACCGTCGTGTTTCTCTCTTCTTCTTCTTCCTCTTCTTCGTCTTCGGCAGACAGCTATATCAGTTGTATCCGTCGACTTGTGTGTGTGTGTGTTTAGAAAATCCGACAATCATCGGGCTCGCGTGAGAAAATCATTTGCGCGCGATACGAATAATATACGCGAGCAAAACCGAACCGGAATTCCGCCCGATTCCGGTATTCGTCTTTTTTTCTCGCTTTAACATTTACATTCCCGTGCGATACCGTTACGACGCGTACACGTGCATTTCCATCGAACGGGTATATCTTTCGTCAGTCTCCGGTTCCCAATACTATTTGTGTATTTTTTTTTGTTTTTTGTTTTTTCTGACACGCGCCGCTGATGTACACGCGAATAACCACCCGCACACACGATTCGCAGACATATTCGAATAATACGTTTTTTTCCCATCGTCATCCCGTATTTTTTACATCTCTATTATACTAGGTACGTTTTCCGTTAGACAGGATACGATGATGTGGGTATATATATATGTATAGGTACACCGCGATGACGACAACGACGAGTTAATTAAAATAATATGTTTCGACAAATCTTGGGAAATCGACAAATCTCTCTGAAACCGTAGAGTTTATTCACAATGTTTGTACTGAGATAAACTCAAAATATCCCATATATAACTCTATATCCTATAATTACAAATTTTTTATAAATTAAAATTCATTGCAAAACACCAATCGTGTTACTCCGTTCAAGCGCTTGGATGAATATTTTCGTTATTGGTGTCGGAGGATCAGTATGAGGACCACTTGTTCTCCAGACTACAATACGACCGTAGGTTTTAATTCCTGCAAATCAAAGTTAATACTCAATGGAATTTCTACGTGTTTTATAGTTTTTATTATTTTTTTTTTTTTACGAAAGCCAATTTGTTCAGCAAATTGTGACTAAACGCACGTTATATAAAATCGGCGCTGTCATCCTAGTTCGAAATACCTACGACGTGTAAGGTTTTTTCTTCTTCGGTACCTAGTGTGGCATATTCATTGGATTTTAATTATAATTTATAAAAGGTAGTATACCATTTAAATTTCTACGGGAAAAATCGAACTAAAAAAAAAAAAAAATGTTTTGTCCTTCGTGTTATGTGCGGACATAAGAGAAACCCAAACGAGAGGTAAACTATACAGGCATCAGGTATTTACGATGTGACGGTACCCGCTATTGGTTTTTTTTTTCTTCCGATCTGTTTTTCATTAACTCGCATTATTTTTGACGGTCACCCGCAACAAGGATGAATTATTTCTTGGAGAAATTTCGTCGATAATCAATCAGGTGTGATGCATTCAGACAACGACGATATTACGGTCAAGTTTATCGGTGTGTGATATGCTCGCTGTGTAAGACATAGGTATATTTAGTAAAAGTGGATCAAACTCCTATTATACGAACGATTTGGTTATCATCGTCACCACGTCTTGCAGCAATATTATAAACGATCTAAAACTAATTTTAACGAATAATTTTCCTTTTAATTCATTTCACTTGTAGGACTTTCTACGCATTGTACCTATGATAGGAAACTCGTTTTACCGTCTTGAATACATTTAAATAATATTCACAATACGTTTTTGTTTTTTTTTTTTTCAGACACACGAGGTCTCGACACAAGATTACGATGGTACGTATATTAAAGTAAAAGAAAAAAAAACAAACATAAAACACAAAAATCGCTCACCGTAGTTGGAATATATTTTCTAACTTGAATTATTAATGTATTAAAGTTGGGTTGCATAAACAACCATTAAACGTTTAACGGTTCCTTCATTTCCAGATGACGTGTTGTAAATTTGATGTTTGAAGTCGAAACATTGAACGTTTAAACATTGTTTTATCAAAGCCCTATGGGCTATGTGTTCTATCACACAATTATGTTTTTCCAATGATAATTCGGTTTTCACGCTTGTACGTTTTTGAACGTTTCAATTTAAACTGTTAACAGAACTAAAGTAGGTTTCGATTATTCGATTAAATCGAATAACACCTGTGGAATTCGCAGGATTTCATATTGTTTGTTTGATGGACCGTTAATGCAATCCAACTGGCTCGATAAAGGTGTTAAACAGCCCGATTAAACAATTCTTTCATTATACAAACGTAATGAAAAGTTGCACGCACGTAACGCGATATTATGTGACATAAAAACACCTCATCACGTCGCGCGTTGGTTTTTCCGCAGTGTCGGAAATACAATGTTCGTTCTCGACGGACTCACTGCGGGTGGGCAAAGCTCTGCTGGGCGTCAAGGACGTGATATCGGCCAGGCTGAAGAAACCAGAGGGATTCAAGGGACATCCGCTGTTCGCCGACGATCGGTCGGTCGATCCGCTAGTCGACCCCGTCTGCCAGATACGGCCCGATCTGTCAGACGCGGCGCTGTTGACGTACAGCCTGTTGGTCACCGACTTTGCGCGGTGCGGCGTCCTCAGGAGAAACGTGAGTGTTTGTTATTGTTGTTTGCGGTAGATAGTGTGTCCGGTAGCTGTACGGCACCGTCAGTGACGTAAGGAAATGCGAACGCGTTTTAAAAATCCGAAATCCTTATCCAAATACCGGTCAATTCAAACTTCATTACCTAGGTTGTATACCTTTAGTGTTAATGAATCGATAGGTCTGAGAACAATTGAACGTATTAAAATTCAGTTTTGTCGTAGTCCAGTTTTTGGATATACATTTTTTTTTTTTTTTTCACAAACGTTCATAAATTCACCCGATGATTTTAAACCTTGGGATTCTCGTTTCTGCGTAATCGTTATACACGGGTTAGTATTACACAGTAAAACAGCGTGTCGTACTTATCCGCTCCAACGTGTTGATATATAATACAATTGTTATATTGTCACGGAGCGTTTTTTTTTTTTTTTCTTATCTAATTTTATGTTTTCAGGGTTTCGTGCACGTCCGCGTGTGGTTTCCGCAGTTTCCAGGCGTGGTGATGATGTCCGACCAAGAGCTGATCATCATGTGCAAGCCACCTGAGCCGACGATAATCGAAAACAAAGCCGCCGGATTCGCTGGTAGTTTGTAAGTATAAAATTGAAAAAAAAAAACAAAATATAACTATCACACCCCATAATCATATAACTATACGAATTTATGGAGATTTTCGAAATTCCGCAATGTCTCGAAGTAAGAAAAAAAAATTGTTTGGCAAACAAATAGTCATTAATCTTTGCGCGCCAATACTTATTTATTACGTTCTTTATACGAATAACTCTATCTAATTTGTTTGAAGAGTAAAAAAAAAAAAGGACATGAAATAATAGTAATATGATCGTTTCGTTATAGTATACGGTTTAATAGGCATGCGACTAATAATAATACCTTAGAAACGCAGCTATAGTGCATTTCGAAGAGATAAGAGGGGAATACGAAACTGTATTTGTATCGGATGCGCGTTTTGAATGTTTTTAAACGTGCAGTGTTAAATGGAAATAAATTATTATTGTCAGTCTATGATGCAGAACCCGGAATTATAATATGCACTTAAAACTTATGAAATATGACGCATGCAATATTAACACACACTTATTAAAAAAAAAAAAAAAATATATCATCAACAATAAATTGTATAACAAATAACAAAAATATATTACGATATTAAAACGAAATTGGCTGACAATAGATTTGGGACATCGTCCGTCGAAAAGGGCAGAGGCGGTGATACGGCGAGAATGAAGAGTAGGTATAGTAGGCGAATGACAGAACGGATAATTGAATAGCCGTGCTGGGGATGATACACGTTTTTAGACGGCAGGCAACAAGTGACAGAAATTTATTGGTATTAACTTATTGCCGTTTACTTTTTCGTCACAAAAATGTTTGAATTACGCGAAAATCGTGTTTCGCACATCAAATCATTGTACAGACTCAGATTAAAATTCGTGTCTTTTTTTTTTTTTTTTTATATCGTCACACCTACTCGTCCGCCTATGTGTTTCATTCGTTTCGAGAAGACCGCCGCTGTCTCCCCCCTGATCGGTGTGAAAAAAACACGCCGTATTACTTCGAGTCGTACCATCATTATTATTATATCCGGTGCCGATATAAATTTGTTTGTTTTATTACACCGGGTCGCCGGCAGACGGGAATATCCTTAAAGCGTTTCCGCCATAACGACGCCCATAATGATAATAATATTATTATTATAACACGAACTATGGCGCGTTCATTGGTCTTTCGAAATTATTGTCTCACCGTATTCACCTTTAAAGATAAGAGTCACTTCGAAGCGCTTTTTTCACGTGGGGTGGCTGACCGTTTCCGCCGCCGCCGTATAGTAATACCTATCTCCGATTCGAATCGTCATCTCTGACACGATAACCATCGTTACACGGCAGGTTACAATATTGTTATTACGAAACTCCTGGCAATTCAAAATATTATTATTTTGTAAATTACATTCCCGATTACGACGAAAACGTGTATACCGCAAACGAAACCGGACGGTTGTTGCAAGTAAGCTCAAAGGTCAAAAACCCTATTTTACGGGGACAGTAAGAAAATATTGTTTTTTTTTTTTTTTTTTTTAAGTTTTTAATCTAACAGAACACTTTCTTTGACAAACGGACGTCCAGAGTCGAAATCGTTTAGTATTGGATACAAGCACCGAGTGTATTTTCGTTCTGCCGTTATCCTCGACGTATTCACGCGGTTATTGCGTCGGTTTTATAAGAATTTAGCGGCTCCGCGCACGTTATTTTACAAGGAAAAATATAACAAACTGTTTTGATTATTTCAAACGATTTAAAAAAGAAAAAAAAAAGGAAAAATATTCTCTCGGATTATAATTGATATCGGGCGTTTATCCGGCCGGTTAGATCGCGAAATATTGTTTTACACGTACACCCCCATGCACTTATCGAGAAAACGAATACGGTATACCGCGACAGGACGCGGATTGATTCGCGGCAAAGCGATGGGGGAGGGGAACGGACAAAAAAAAAACCACCGCCTACCCGCGCGCGTACGAACGGCGTGGAAATGGTTTTGTAACGGTACATCGCGTATAACGAGGAGTCGCACAGCGGCCGCGGCTATACACCGAAGGTGCCGGGTATTATTGTCGGTACCACAACAATAATGATAATATTATGTACGCATACTGACCGATATATGAACGGTTCGGTTATTGTGTCTCGGTCATCGTTTTTTTTCTTTTTTTTTCTTATTAAACAATATCGTTGTCGATGTGCCGCCACTGGTTGGCGTATAATATAACAGTTGGCCGGCTCCCGGTATGTGGAGTAAGTCCGACGACTGCGCACTACCGTGACGATCCGGCGCGCGCGTAAGTGAGTGAGTAAACAAGTAAGTATACGTACGCGCGATACGTGCGAGCGGTTTCTGTAATGTATGTGCGTGCGTATTTGAATACAACGTTTAATATTACCAGTGCCGCGCATTCAATCTTGCTCTGGGGGGAAAAGGGTGGTTAGAACAATCAGGAAAATGTCCTTTCCTAATAATCCGACACGCACAGGCACCCGCCAATAATCGATGAAAACCTGTACGAAGTTCGTGACGATCGATTACCGTATTTTTTTCGTAAATATAAAATGCGATATAACGTTAGTCGAACAGTTATTAATTTTTAAAAAAAAAAATAAAAAAAAATACGCGATACAGATTGTACAGCGTTCAATAGCGGCCCGACCGCCGGGCGTACCCGATATGTGAACGCGCGATTCCAGCCGGCCCGTTAGCCCGCGAACCCGTTCGGGAAACGGTTCCCGGACGCCCGTTCGCCCGCCACCCAACGCGCGTACCCGTCGCGGCCGGCGGGCGCCCGCGCACCGGCGACGATCACAGATTCCGACGCCTCCGCCGCGGCGCGTCGCGCACAACGACAACACGGTCCGCCGGCGTTGCTGCGGATGCAACGACATCGATGCCGGGCGGTGGATGTTTACGTTAGCGTTTCGCGGCCCGGTTAATCTCTCGGGTTTTCGGGATCGCCGTCCGCGTCGTGGCGACGTGATTGCGACCGCAAACAACGCCGCGCGTACACAATAAATACGGTTTTTTTTTTTCCGATTCCGCCGTCGCCGTCCGTAGCGCTCTATTGCGTTTTGCCCTCGAAAACCGTACAGCGCAGAAATCCATTATATCGTTATCGCCGTTGCGGTTGTTGTTGTTCTGTGACGTCGGATTGTCGCCGAAAACGGCGCGGGCGAAATGAAAAGACCGACACCCGCGATTCCGTGTACAGAATCGAATTTTTCTCCCCGGCCGACTTGTCGCGGTTACGATATTTCATTTTTTTTTTTTTTTTCCACAACCGACTAAAAACAGTATGGTCAAGGACAGATTCAACAGATTCGCATTCAATTTTCCTAACATAAAAACATCACTTCAATACGCAAAGATATTTTCCGAATGTCTTGCGATTATTTATTCATTTAGGCAAAATTAATAAAAAAAAAAAAAAAAACATTATTAAACATAAATTTTGATTTAAATGTAAATACGCCGGTTGTTTGTTTGTATAGAGAGTAAGTATGTACAAGAAAAATATCATGTTATTAGTGTACCGGATGATTATATTATAATTAATCGTGTTAATCTACTCGCCCCTGTAACGTAAAATACGGTCGGACCGCGCGTTTGACAGCCGGCGAGTCGAACGCACGTCTGCAATGTCAGACTCCTAATCGCGGTGCGAAAAGAACAGCACTATCGATAGTCTTAATATAAGTTCGAATGAGGCAACTGCGTGTTACATTATGAAATCCAATCGAAATTGTTTCGCTTCAATTCGCCTACGGAACTACTCATTAATTCCCGAATTTGAGCTCATTTCGTCCGGATCCCTCCGGTCTTAAGAAGTATATGAAATAGCAACAAAATGGTATATATGTATATGTGTGTGTATACATAATGGACACAGTGTAATGCTATAGTTTCTGTTTTCGAGGGGGAAAAGTGACGGGAGGGAAATTCGACAAAAATTTAGACAGATTGCGACTACGTTAAGTACAATATACCTAGGTAATGTTGTTACCGTTTAAAATCAAATTTCTTGCACCTACGAACGCACGGAGAGTCGTCGACATCAATCAAATTCCGATTACGTGATGTAAACGTTGTGTGCGGTGTTTTGTCGGTTTCTTCACACGGCAACATTCCGAGTAGGATAATGTCATAATACCCATAATAATGTCCCACGAAACTTATTCGCACGTTTAAATAAATATTATTATGTTCCTTCGTGAATATTCGGATTGTGGTAGAAAAAAAAAATACATCAAGAGTTCATCATCATCGAATTTACAATGATTTTCGTTGTTGATTAGTACTGCGATAGCATTTGGTGATTTTTTTTTTTCACGTTTCGAGCGTATAACGAAAATAATATTAGTTTTACGTTTTTTTCCCCTCTTAACTTAACAGATGCGTACCTATTTCTCGGTCGAAACATTTGTCTAAATTCCCGACGGATTTTTTCGACATTGTTTTTTAAAATTTAGATGATATGTCTTTTTGTCGTTTTTCGGATTATCGTGGACACAACGAGTGCCCTCTACCGACCTCCAATGACGTGTTTTCCTCCCTGTAAACTTCACCTTTAATAATTGTTTATAACTTTACCAGTTATTCGAGCTCCGCCTAGACTCGTTTTCCGATTGTTACGGTTTATCGTCACTATTAGAATATAACATTTTTTATATAAGATACGTCTTGTAGTTTTTCGCCGTTTCATCTATACGTTTATCACGGAATCGCATCAATACTTTGTTCCGACATTTTAAAATATCGAGATGATTTATCGTGTTATAACGAATTCTTCGGCCGCTGATTAGGAACGTGTTGTTGTTTTTTTTTTTATATTTACCCCATAATTTATTCCGCGCTTTTCTTTACTATATATATTTTTTTATTTTTTTTTTTGCCCGGTAAAATATCACGAATATAGACCACAGTGTAAATACAGAATATAATAGAATTATTATATTTAATTATATTATATTACTATAATACTATAATTTAACAATATCATCAACAATTATTGTACGGTTTTTGAAAAAATAGCGTTGTTTTTTTCTTATGAAACTATATTTTATAGTTTCTAGGTTTTTTTTTTTTAAATGTATAATAATATTATTAAATAAATCTATATAGGAAATTTAAAAGTTTTTTTTTTTGATATTTTTTAAAATTGGCTAGTGCCTGTAATATGCTTTGATCGTATTACAAAACCGAATCGGCTTTGATTTTCGAATATTATAATAACTCTTAATATTTATTTTAAATTAAACATTATTTATTTGTTTTTTTTTTTGAAATAGTAAAGCAGTTAACCAGCCTTACTCGTATAATATAGTTTACAAACGAAAAAACGTTGCTGGTAAAGCAATAAAAACGCGCGATCGAAGACGAAATTACATTTCCACGCTCCATTTTTCTCGTACAAATCGTTTATGATAATAATAATAATAATATTATAGAGGTATAGATGATACGTTTTTTTTTTTTTTTTATTAAGACTCATATATTATTTAAATGTGAAATTATGGAAAAAGTAAAAAAAAATGTTATCTAGATACATCTAGACAGTTATATTTGTTGTCCTTTATCTTGTCTATATAGGTGAATGATAAATAAAACTTATTAAATCGTAATACATTTATACATTATTTACTAAATGACCCGCCCGGCGTTAACCGTGCCAAACCAATAAAACGTTTTCCCTTTGGAATCCCCGTTTCAATCCTCGTCGTCGCTGCAGTAAACCGCTGTTGCCTTTAAGTTTTTAAAAATTACTTTCCTTTAATTTTCTTTTCAAACTTATATGAATTAGTTATATAGTTAGTTGCTAAGCAATGAAAATTATTCATAAATTATTATTTCGTATCTAGCCCAAACTACTGCAGGTTAAGTCAACAACTTCTACAGGTCTGATCGGGAATTTTTAATGGCTCTAAACCTTCTCCGCGATATACTTTATCATTTAAAAAAAAACGCATGACGATTGAATGAGCTGTTTCCGAGATCATTGTGGACATCAAAATGACACTTTCTTGCATACACATACGTTTAGTGAAACTTCTAAATACCTAACACACTTGTTCGCTGACATTTTATCCGCTATTTAGACGGAGAAGTTGTACTTAAATTAAATTAATTAATTAAAACAATTTTATTTTTACATTAATTAAATAAATCTTAAAAACTAACATTTATGAAAAAAATCATTTAATTTAGCTTGTCTACCAGCTTCAGTCATTTCGTATGCCAAGGCATTTTCTAATACTTACTTTATTTTTACTGGCTATCGTATTACAATAAACGTTCGTATATTGGTATCACAAACACAACCCAATACGATTAGGACTAGGACAACGCATTGGTCGCAATATTTCGTCGATGGATCATATTTTAATGACTGGACGAATTAGATAAGATACGGTATAAAATGTTTAATAGTAATAAAAGATAACTAAATAATATAGATTTTGAAAATTGGAACAGGCACCTGAATATGTTTTAGTGCGTATTTCGCAATAGTTATTAATATTGATTTACGGTAAAAATCGTCAACATCAAAAATTTAAATGCCGCAAAAGTGTCAATTATTTAGAGTGTTCCGTGTTTAAAGGTTTTTCTATATTGTATAAACAATGGACATGTCCCCGTTCCCGAGAAAATGTCCGCTATTTGGAGGTGTCCGCCATTCAGATGTGTTACTAATTTGATTAGAAATAATTGGTAAAATATTGAATTTATCCTCGTATGGTCGAATACGCAATAATGGGGCATAACGTTTGTTCGACAACAACAATCTTTTTGAATTCTAAACAAACAGTTGCCGATTATTTTAGATAACATTATGTATTATTAATAAATTTAAAACATTGTTATTGTTATTTAAAACAAGTATCCCCGTCTCTTATGTACCTTAAACGGGATTTTCTTGTCGGTACATACAATACTGGTTTTTACCTCGTGTATAATAAGAAGGGATAATGATTTGGAAACTATCGCGTATTGCCGACCAGTAATTGTTTTTTTCTTTCTTTTATTTCCCTAGAGTGTTCGGTAAATAATTTACCGTGTACAGCTATATTTAAAGGTGCTCGATAAAAATAATTAATTCTATTATTGTCGTGGAAATCGGTCTAAATAATGAAAAACCGAGATGCATCACGTTTTGTTATATCTACGCGTATCAAAACAGCTAGGAATAAAAAAAAAAAAAATAAAAAATAAACCCGTATCGGCCTTGGAAACGAGGATCCATTGAGTAGAACTTTATTTTTCACGGTTTCCGATCGTTTTCTTTACAAACGACAACGACGACGCGTAATTATTATTTTTATACCGATCGTAAAAGTATACGGTTTACGCGCTAAACGTGCTTCTATAGAAAAAATTCGTTCGTGAAAATTCGCGGTGCAAACATAAACACGTAGCACAGCGACTATTATTTGGCGACTTTTCTTATTGTGCTCTTAAATACTATACTCACGATAGTAATTATTGTATGGTATAAGGCATAGATATTATTTAATATACGGATAGCCCACTCCTGTGTTTTTAAGCATTTTTGAGGCCGCGTTCCGGTAGATTGAGCAGTTGAGAGCAGGGACTGGTACCTTCGGTTTTTTCCGGTTCCGGTACTTAATTATTTTTTTAAGAGGTTCCGGTTCAAGTTTGTGACAATTTTTATTTAAGGGTTCTGATTCCGGTTCCAGTTTCGGAAAACTATTTAAGAGTTTAAGTTAGGTTTCTAGTTAAAACCAGTATTAAAAACGATTCCAAAAAGGTATTTATTTTTATTTTTATCTCCAGATTAAATATTTTATATAGGTACATTAAACTATTAAAATAGTAGTAATCAAACATAAAAAGACGGATATACTTCGCACGCGTGTGCAGCCACTGTTGTAGGTGCGAAGTTGGGAATGTGGGATACAGAAGGGAATTTAATGTAGTTTATAAGCAACGATTCTGAGCGAAGTTCAGTTGATAGTGATACTTGGTCAACTGTATATATATGTCATACTTACGGTAAAATAATTAAATAGGTATTGAATGTTTTCTTTAATAATATTTGTTTTATATTGTGTCGGTTTCCCGTTATTTATCCTGATTTCACAAGAAATAAACGGCTCTAAAGAAAAATAAAAATAGTTTATCAAAGCAGTCGTATTTTAATCTGTGCTATAAGCATTATAACCGATAATTTGATCATAAGCCACGGAGGAAAAGACAAAATAATTTATCATTGTAAAACCCGTTTTTAAATTTTAAATTTTCAACAATACAAAATAAATAGGCATGTAAGTACAGTATACCGTAATCATATCATATAGATAAGCTTGGACTTGCGACTAATGTATAGGAAGTATGAATTCAAATCAATACGTTCGTAGTATTTGTTCTATGAAATAAAAATCGTATTATAGTATTGTCACGGTAGGAAAAAAAAAAACAGGTCCTCAAATTGTTTTCGTTCGTGAACGTTTGAGTACACCGACGGACTGTCTGCGGAGAAAATAATTTCGGGCATTTATTGACAGCGGGCCGCGATATAATATTGTTATCAGATGTTGTCCGGATACGATAGGCTATAATAAAGGTGATATTTTATAGAGCTCGGGTGACCATTTTTTTTTTTTTTTTTTTTTAAAATATCCGATTCAACAAAACGATAATACTGCAGTATTATAGTAATATCAACAATAACAATAATGATAAATATTATTTATTATACGTCTGTTATTGTAATAAGTATAACAATAATATACGTGATCCGAAATGCGAAATTCGAGAGCGCGAAGAAATAAAAAAAAACACCGCCATGTATATATTTTGTGTATAATACCTACCTGACGGACGGAAAGAATTTTCGTTAAAATCAGAAAGAAAACGAAACGACTATTGTATTGTTATTATCATAATATCGTCCTAAATATAAACACAAATATTGTAATGTTGCGTGCATGTGTTTTATGCATGTGTGTGTATTTAAATAAGACGATATTTAAATAAACAATATGGCTGAGACGAACGTGATCGTGTTAAAAAACCTAAAATATAATTCACATTTTCACGGTCCTGCGTTCTGTTCTTCCGCCGCAGTGGACACATTCGCTCGTTTTTCGCCTACTGACCCAATTGTCAAAATACACCTATACGAAAAAGATGACACACTAAACGACGGCGACAGCGATTCGCTGTGTGTGAACATTTTTCCATCATTCGATTGCTGTACACCTGCACAATATAGCGTAATAACAATAATACGAGAGTGTATTTATTATTATTGCTTTGAGTACACACGTAACGCGTTTTTGGGTGACGAATACACGTGACGACTACACGAACAGCTGGTACCGTTTTCGATGACTCTTTATTTATTCCGAGCAGCATGAGTATCTCGGATGTGAGTGGTGTACTGGTGTATTCAGACTAACGAGGATTTAACGTACTATAGTTGGAAGTCTAGGAGTATGGTGAATATATAGCGTGCACAATCAAGCACAGTCGAGAGAAGGAAATACACCATCACAACTAGGCGGTCTGTAGGCGAGACAAGCGTAATTGTCTAGATGAAAGCTGGGGTTGGGGTAGGTTAAAGAAAAAGTGTCCAGGAGTTATTGTAAGGGAAAATATGAGGAATTGTGTGGGAGATGAAAATATCTAAGTGATAGACAGCATGATTTGGAGCGAAAGAATCAGAGTAACTGATCTCACTTATGTGAAAGAAAAGAAGAAGACGAGTGCCTCCTAATTTCTTTATCTACGTTATAATGTGTTCTCATATATCGTTTAATAATTTAAAAATAACCATTTTCCTGGGCCTAATACTTCTTCCTCAACTACCATACATATACGTTATCCTCAAATATTTTTCATCGTCTCATCTTAAATTAAATCTTCTGTAATACATAATATATTCTATCATAGTCTGTCATACAATCGTATTATTTTCTCTCACGCCTCTCCCGCTATACTTTATTGATACTTAACTTTTTCGCCTCTGCTCTTTCCATTTTTATTTCGTCTCATTTTTTATTAACGCCGCACACTCAGACGCCCATACATTTTAGCTGATCACATAATGGTTTTATAAGACTAATGTTATTCAGACAAACAGAACAAATACCTAAATAAAAAAAAAATACCAAAATACTAAACAAATACCTAAATATCTTCTGTCCACTAGGGTGTATAGATTTAATTAGTGTTTCGAAAGAATATAACGTTTTTGGATCTGTTCACAGCCCACACGGTGCGCGTGTTTCGGGAGTCGTAGAAGAGACACCTGGACGACTCGAGTACGAGGTAGCCCTGTACAAGGAAGCACCGGCAAGGCTGACTAACTTGAGTCACAACAGTGAATTACCGGTCGACCAGGCCGTGCCAATTGGTACCAAACTTCAGCTCCGGGCCAGGATCAACCCACATTCAGGTATGAAAAGGAGTTTCCAAAAAATGCATATGATTTTGGAATAATAATCTGTCGCATTCGTATAATTAAATTATTATTTCCGTGAATGGGACATTTCTTGAAAAGTAAATCGATATCGTGAATAGTATATGATATATATTATTAAATGACGTGGAAATGACATTGAGTAGAATTTATTTTTTTTGTATTTACACGATATCGGTAACCATTCGCGAAACAATTTGGTTAAACTTTGTGAAATTTTTCCGTGATTCGGATATTTTTATTAGACGGTTTAAAATTGTTCGTTTACATCGAAGCAATAAAACTATACATCATTCACAATATTATTCATAAATTGATATCGTTTCGAATGATCAGTCTTTTTAGCACGTTTTCGAAGACGAATAAATCGAAAAACTCACGGTCAAAAATCCCATACGTCACCTTTGGCGATGGTAACTCACGGGTATTGGTGAAGAGTGAAAATAAAAACTAACCCGGTATACGGTAATCAGTAAAATTATAATATAATACAATCGATCGGACTACCACCGATCGCCACGAACGCCTGTATAAGAGTGTTATTTTTCCCGGTCAAATTCATTATGTAGAAAGTAAACGCCGCATCGTGTATCTAATTCGATCGGTTATAAACCACCCGTGTAAAAATAATACGCTAATAATTGATCTATCGACAGTAATAATTCGGAGGAGAAAATATACGCACACGACGACTCCTGGGAAAAATCGCTCACGTCGGACGACACCACAATTCCCTCCCCTCCGCAATAGGCTATCGTTAATTGTTACAAATCAGTGTTGGTCTTATATCATCTAGATAAAATCTATAAAACGATAATCTAGATTGAATGACATTCTGTCATACTAAAGTTGTATTTTTAATATTATAGAAAAAACCAAAATGTTTTAATCCTCTCAATATTATTCTAAGTAAATAAGAATATAATAAAAATACCAATTTTGTTATTATTTTTTATCACACTTATATTGGTAATTCAAACATAATATATCATAGTTATATTAAATTTTGCAAATAATTATTTGCACTTTAGTCAACACACTAAATTTAAAAACTATTTAAATAACGTTTATTTTCTTACAAGTTGAAATAATATTTGTATGTTATCTAGATAACTGAAAACTATATTTTATCTTTCTTTTTCTTCTTTTTTTTTTCTATTGTGTTTTTTATTCTAAAGACCGCTTTATTCAGCAAGTAATTGCCTTCATTGCCAAGTCTCTTCGTATTATTCCAGGATTTATATTTTCCACGTTTTCTTAAGGAGACCCCGTCTTTCCACCTTAACCACAAGAGCTTCAGTGGTCTTTTTTTTTCTAGATATCTCTGAAAAGTTCTATTTGTATGATCTGCCAACGTGAACGCAGAACTCAATAAGTCGCTTCATAACAATGGCTTTCATTATATTCGAACTCCTGTTTACATTTCTACCAGTTCCCTATGTTTCCAGATTCTCTATTTTCCTATATTTACGTGATGAAAATTACATCTTTACATGGATCATATATTTGTATAGACAAATACATAGGTAGGTATCTTTCTTTCAAATATCGTTAGTCGCAACGAGTTATCATTAGTTTTCGCAACGTTTGTTTTTTTGGCACGTAGGTTACAGCTGATTTTACAAGCGTTAGACGTACTCATAGAAAGCATTCTGGTAGTATTTTTATCGTTATATAAGATAAACAATTAGAAGATACCTTTATATACCTTTTATCTACAACAAATATTGATAATTTTCCAATGCAGATAATTATAAATGTTCAACGTTATAAATAATTAAAATGCCAGGTGTATTATTATTTATTATAAAAAATTGGAGCACGACTAATCTCTAAGTTTTGGGTTTTTTGTTTGTTCCCGCAGCCTGGAAGTTCGTCAAGTTGATGGAAGTATCCGTATCTCCAGACCCTGACAACGCGCACGTGTCCGGCAGTGTTGCTCTGGTCAAAGACGGGTAAGTGTCGAAAATCTCGTTCGATTTGAATAATAATATTATACATAATCATAACCGAAAGAAATCGAATTAATATCATACCAAAAGTTAGTAATATAATGAAAATAATAAAAAAGTCCTGATACAATTGATGGGTGTGCTAATGTTTAAACAGGGAAGTTGAAAAATAGGATATAGAATAATGCAATTATTTAAATCTGTAAGTAACGAAAAATATTTGTTAACAAAACACTATTCTGAGTGAAGTTTGATTGTATATGTTTTAAAATTACGACATCTGTACGATTAACATCAAATACATAATATAAGTTGTAAATAAGAGCGTTAAAAATCTTAAAAAAAAATAAATGAATAATAATAACATCAATAATAAAATCCAGAAAAAAAATCATTTAGAATCTCCCTCTTAAAAAAGTTCTGAAATGTAATAGATTATAACATATTTTCTTCATGATAAAAGATGTCAAAAAAAAAAAAACGTATTTAAACAGAGTAAAATAACAGGAAATTTTGTACTTTTACAACTCTGATAATGTGTACTTTGGTCAGTTTAGACCACTATCTATAATATTTGCATAGGGTATTTTGATTTTTATATTAAATATATACATTATTATAGCGTAAATCATACTTTTTAGGGCGCTTTTGTTATTATTATTTTTTTTATTAAAGCGCACGAGTGAAAACACCTTTTTTTTTTTTTCAAAAGACAACATCTATAATATTTTCTCCGTTTTAATATTTAGTAATTAGTATTATTCTTGTTTTTTTTTTCGTCTCGTAAACTATCGAGATAGTATTATTATTATACTCGTAGTACCGAATTATAATCTAGTGTTATCGCTACGAAGAAAACGAAATTATTCACGTTTACACGTCGTCCGTTCCGCCGCCGCTAACCTGTCAATCTGATCGCGGAGCACCGTCAATACCGGTACACTGCGCCGGTGCAGTGTATTAAATTAAAAGGGAAAAAAAATTATAAATATTATAATAACCCATCACGGCACCGGTTGTATCTGTTTCACAAGCGCGCGAAATAATATTATAACATGTATAAAATAATGACGGTTATTTGACGAGGTTTTTACTTTTCGCTAATATTTTAATAACTAGATCACGAGCGGCGTATACAACAACAACAATAATAATAATAATAATAATAATAACAATGATGATAAGATTTGAGTTTTTCGCACTGGGATAGTATCATTAACTCGCGGAGAAATTTGGCTCGGCTCGGCTTCGTTTTCGTATTTATTTCGATAAAATATTTATTTACGCCGATAATGTTGGAATATAACAGAAATGAAAACTAAACAACCGAAGAACAGTTGTTATGCCAATATATATATATATATAACAGTAGAGATAAAAAAATTATATACTTCGCAACCACTGTTGCGAGGGAGGTATGATATTAAAAAGGAATTTATAATTACGCGACGGCAAAACGGTCATGCGCAAAGTTCGATTTAAACACGTTTCGATCAACAACTTAAATTGAAACTAATTCAATGAACGCATTGTAACAATGAATTAAATTTCATTTAACAAAAGAACTAAAATTCTTTACCGTACTTTTCATCATAAATTACCGAGGTTTTTACGGAACTAAATATAACTCGGAAAATAGTACGTGAAATAAAATATCGTGTTAATGAATTTTCGAAATTTTATGCATAGTATTATAGTAATACGCAATAAATTATAACGACTTATGAAGAATCTTATAATCGACAATCGAACATTTTTGAGACGCTTAAAAAATAGCATGCACTTATAACAAAGAAAAAAAAAACCGTCGAATTGCTTAAAAATCGACAAAATATCCGGGAAATTCAGCCACGTCTGGAAAGGATTACTATAAGGGATCGGTAAAAATTGTAGATGAAAATCGAAAACAAAAATAAGAATCGTTTTTGCGTAAACATATTTCCGAGGGGTTATCCCAATCGTTAATTAAATTACAAAAAAATAATGCGAAAAAAATGACCTCCTCAACGCACCGACCGGATCGAATTTCCCACCAGAAACCGACCGTCCTTTGAGTGGACGATCGGAGCGAGATTTCTGACAGAAAAGTCGTTTACAGACACAGCGCACACACAAAAGCTACACAGTGGGTATACATAGCGTATTATCATTGGAAAACCCATACGTTACTCGCTACGCTCAGAATACAAAACCTCCGGTTGATATATTGCGATTTCACGACAGCGTCACACGTAGAATTGTTATAGGCAACCGTACAGTAGGTATATTGTTGTGCACCGAGACGGCGCCAATATTTTACCGGCCCGGACTCGCGGTATGATAAAAAAATAATGATATCTCGCTGTAACGTCCGAGGCTACCGTATACGATATTGTATTTGCGGCGAAAGGAAATGCATAAAGTGTCGAAAACGATTCGTTTACTAAACGTAGCCAGGTACCTGGTAAAATGCATAGCGCTCGACCGTGTTCGGATCGACAGTGAATATTATTTTTTCAAACGCAGTTTTATCGAACGAAAATCGTTCTAATATTTCTACGGAGGAACGGGAAACGCAATTTAATGTCATATCATATTAAAATAAATACGCGTGTGTGCGCGCGGAAAATTACCCGTGACCCAGTGAGAAGACCGCGAAAATCGTCCGGTGGCGACCATCACCGTGTACGACGTGTATATTTATATTATATTTTTATAATGAATAATAATAATATTATTAATGTGTTCATAACCGTGAATTTTTATGTTTTTTTTTTTTTTCTTCTCTTCACTTCGTCGCTCGCAGATGCCGGAATCGAGATTTCGCCACGATCATCCCGCACCAGCCGGCCAAGTACCGGGAGAGGCACAACGAGGTGTTTTTGGACTTTGAGGCGTTCCTGTTGAGCACCATGAAGGAACGGTCGACGTTGTGGATTCACTCGCAAATTAAAGCTTGCATGGACGCCAACGACTGTCAGCCCGTGAGTAGTCCGGTCCGATACCTATATATTCTAAGCCTTAGCTTAACCTTAGAATCTATGTTCAAGCCATCCCGAGTGCATATTTTTACAGGCAGCTGTAGACCTTTTTTGAGTTCGGTCCAAGTCGAATCGTAACCTAACCTAGTTGATATTGGGAGTTTAGGGCGGCATTAGGAGTTTTACTGAATATCTACTAAAATCTATTTGCTAGTCCAAACCTGATACTGCTTCAAGAAATTTATTATTCGAAATGTAAATTTAAAACCTATTACCCAATCGATGATACGCCCTAGGGGAAATGAAAAAACTTGACCTACCTGTTGGTACAAACCTAATATTGCTCCAAGAAAGTTGGTGTTCCAAGTTTAAAACCAAAATCTAGTCAATGAAAAACCAAGATGTGCATGCTTACGTACTACTCGGAGTAAACTCGGATATGGCTTGTATATACGCTCCCTGAGTTTGTGTCCCTATATTTTTATTATCTCAACGACGACGATAGTAACTCATTTCGATTCGATAAACAGGACGAATAGTGTAGTGAGATAATTTCCGTCTCTAATTGGGTTTCACTTTTCGGTTTGAATCAATCTACGAAACATCTAATACATTTGTGAATTTTTGTCATTGGTAACCATTCTATCTTCTAAAACGTTGTCAAACAAAAATGTAAAGCTATTTAGTTAGGCTGAGACATTAGATGTGGGTATATAAGTGTCGTCCTTTTAAGTGTAGTTGGACACCGGGCATTTAGATCGTAGATTTAAACCAGGCACATAGATTAAGGAAAAAGTCAATAGATGTTATGTAAGGTGATATCTATAATCTATAGTGATAGGTAAGGAGATGGTTGGGGTAAGAATAACAATATAAATTACGCTAACTAACGTGGGATAAAAGCCAAGGGAAAGAAGAAAAATAAATAATACAATAGGTCAGGCCAGTTAGGTAAACTAATAGTTTTCACCACGAATACTTTTTTCATGTAACGACGTTTCGCGTCAGTATTGCGGCAATTCTTGAGTGCCCACATGTTGGTGGCTAATTCGGACTATGCAGTCAGTATTCACGTTCGGTATTCGGTGTATTATAGAGCTGTTAAAATAATAATATTGTCATTACCGTCATAACAATTTTACCTCTTTAACGATAGAATTTAGGACGACCAAACCATCGACACCGACATGACGTCATTGCATTTTAGACCAATTCATTTGATACAGCTGGCATTTTTTACATTCCCCAAAATACATCATGAGTCGATTAATCTGACACTTGTAGATTCATAAAAAATGATATAACAGTTGTTCATTGGAAATAAGTATCTGATTGTTGCATATAATATGTCTTTTACATTTCACAGACTGAACGAATCACGTTTTTTTTTTTTTTTAAATTCCCTAATCATAATATTCCGTTTGTTTAAGATATAAAAAATCGACTTAATAACTATAACAATTTGGTTTTTTGTATATTCAAAAACCAAAATTACTCGTCCCCAATCGTATTCGCCATACTATTACTACTATAATATTGGTGGGAAAAATCCAGATTTTCTGAAATTCGATAATACGGATTTTAAAAATCCGAATAATCAACAATGTATTTAAAATCTGAATTTTAGATTTTGAAACCATGATTTTGGATTATTTTAGTCGTTTTTTTATTCAAATTAAAAACTTATTATAATAATTATATATTTATTTGTTATAAATATAATATAATAAAAATTATCTGATAGTAATTTATTATAATCACACTAAGTAAAATTATCAAATAAAGATAAAATATAAAGGAAATATTTTATACTCATTTTTTTTCTATAAAATCATTTAATACACATTTTAGATTATGAAAGTGATGAGGGATATACGCAAAAATATATATCATAAATTTTAAATATCAAATTTTAAAATCTAAAATTAAAATTTTCGGTATTTGAGATCCAAAATTTAAATTTTTCGATTTTCGGTTAATCCGGATTTATATCATATCACTAGTTTATCATCTTCGTATAGTTTCCCGACTCAGTACGAGTAAACAGGCTGCCAAAAACATTGACCTTCAAAAATCCAAATCCTATATATTATCCTTTTATCCTAATTAGTTACTTCCCGTCTCTTCAGATTTTGTCGTAATTCATCCGTTAATCGTTTCTTAAATCTGGGCTTTCTTTGTCCCTTCACTCAATTGGAGCACTAATTTCATTGGTTGCTTCTTTTCTTATTATGTGTTCAACCCACTGAATTCTCTGTTCCTTCACGAAGCTTATTGTTACGCATAATATAACATATTTTGGTGAACCCCCCTCTGTGTCCTAAGCTTCTTAGTTCAATCGTCTTAAGAAATTATATATTTTGTTCATGAAATTTATTCCCGCAATTTTCTCCGCAGGAATACTGTTTGGACCTATTTGAACCGTCTGGACACGGGCGCAGACGCAAGAGGCATGTAAACGGCAACAGCACGGCAATCTTGTCAGCCGTGGCGGACGCCACCGATGACAAATCGCTGAACGCTACGAACTTTGCCAAGTTCAAGGAAAACATCGAGTACACGGTCATTATGCCCGAAGACATTTACCACGGCAGCCCGATGACATCAGAAAACAACTGTGGCACGTTCCTGGCCCTGTCCGGCGTTTTGGGCTGTCTGCTGTTCGTGGCCGCCATGATCCTGTGTTACCTGACGTCCCGGTTGCAGGCAGCCATCGGGTCCAAGTACCGGGGGCAACAGGACTCGTTTGGAACCGGTCGGCTTCACTCATCCAGTGGCGGCCAATCGTCCAAGTTTCCCGTATCGTTCAGCGGTTCGTCGGCGTACACGGGACGGTTACATTGACACCACCGCCGCTGATTTATTATATTATAGAATTTTTTTTTTTTACATTGTAAATATGTTTTCATATATATAAACAGTATATATAGACGCTTGATTCACGATTCAATCAGTTTGTGTGAAACAAAAAAAAAAAAAAAAAAACCTTTTAAAAAACAACCGTACTCGAGTTTATGCGCGGTGCAATTATAAGTTTGGTTGCCACTTTGAAATGTTACTGTCACGACACCCGGACTTGGTCGAAAAGCTCGATTGGTCGGGGATAGGTTTCAACTTAGCCTAACCTAACCTATAATCACGTAGCACAATCCCCGAATTGAATCGTGATTTAAACGGTGCTATTGTGAACGATTACAATTAGTAATAGGTATGTATTGCCGTTCAAACTTAATAATTATTATTTAGTTATTAAAATATTATTTATCGTTGCGCATAGGATATTATTTATATTATTATAAGATAGTTACGGCGTCTTCTCGGTGGCGTTCCCGGGAAATCTTAAAAGGAAAGAGGGGCCGTGGATATAGGAATTTGTTTACAAACCGACGACGGATACAATGTAGACATAGAAAATAAAGAAATTGATGGGCCAATGTAGCTTATCATATGGTCGGTTTTAATATTGCATATCATTACTGTTAGAGAGAGAAAGATAACAGCATAAATAGAAGTGTCTCGTCCATTTTTTTTTTTAATGTCTCTTATAACGAATGAAACAATTTGAAAAACTCTCGATAAAATGGAGATATGAACGATTCACAATTAAATTTCATACAATGTTTGTATCAATATTTTTCGATCCCTCGGGGTTTCATTTCAACTATAATAATTTGCAACGTTTTGCGTTTTTTTTTTTTTTTTATGGACACGAGTTCCTATTCCCTTTATCTCTCTCCGAGAACGCCCGCGAGATTTCGCACGGTAGTCCAGTCATAAAGGCCGATTTTACAAAACAATAATGTAGGGCTATCAACGTGTTTCGTTCGGATGTTCCGTTTTTACTGTCGACCGATCGACATTTTTTCCGCTTCGCATTCATCAAATTGCACTTAAAGATAAAAAAATAAAAAAATAACCAATTAAAAAAGTATAGGAATTAAAAATTCTAAAATTTAAAATACGACTGTTCAGTTATAAATATTATGTACTTAAGTTTGACTTCACGCAGCCACAGTTATATGACAATTTTACAAAGCCTTGTAATTTTTTTTAAAGAGTATTATTAATTTATTAATATTATTTTATTGTATTTATCGTAAATTTACAATATTATTTTTATATAATGTATACATGTGTGTTTATATTATATAAAATAAACATTACTATTAGAATAAATAAATAATTATATGATATATTCTTTTTCTTATTATTATTTTTGATTTGTCGTTTTTTTTTTATAGCTTAAAGCACTATGCTATAGAGGATGGTTCATTTATTACGAACTAACGATTCAATCGAATGATTTTAAGTATTTTTTTTTTTCTTCTGATTTAAATCGCATTATTATAACCCCGTTTTCGATTTTTATGCCTACTACTTTTACCTTAAACGAATACACACTTTTGATTTTCAAATAGGAACTCCTTCTCCTCTTTTAAGCTGCACACCTATAAATAAAGAATGTTTTTCTGAAAATGTTGATATGCGTAACACTATAATATCGGATTTACTGTTTATGAACTGTAAACATTTAAAGTTTAGACCGGCGCAGTATAAGGTTTACTTAGAGTCCTTCGAGAAAATTGCTGGTCCATAATAAATAAACGACCCTCTGTAGCAGGGGTCGGCAATTAGTTTCTAAGGTGGGCCAGATAATTTGAAAAAAAAAATTTCGAGAGCCGTATATTTTAGTAGTATTTTGCCACATATTTAAAATAATATACTAATGTATCAAATATAATATCATAAATATAGATTACGTTCGGACGCTTGGATATTTTGGATCTATGCAGAGACAAATAATGAAAATAAAAAACCAGCGTTAAAGTAAAAACATTTTGGCGGTCAGTTTATTTCCTCTTCAATAGCCGGATTTGGCCTGCGGGCCGCCTATTTCCTACTCGTGCTTAATAGTTATTCACCTCGGGTATTTTTTTAGGGTACTTACCGGTAATATTGATCCCGTCAATTAAATTTAATATCATAATATAAAAAGACGTCCTAGGATATTGGAAACGGGTGCAGCCACTTTTAAAGAAAACGTCTGTAAGCAACTATTGCTAACGAAAAAAACGATTCTGAGCGCAGTTCAGTTGATAGTGATGCTTTGTAAAAATATTTATATACATGCCATATTATGGTAAAACAATTAAATAGGCATTATATAATTTCTTCAATAATATTTGTTTAATATTATACTGATTTTCCCATGTTTTTACCGATATTTCCCATTTAATGGGGAAAACTATGGATAATATCGAAAAATTACTTCCTTATCATTTGAAATCGAAGTGAAATCGCAGGTAGAAAAGTATTACAACTGCGGTACGGTACACTCATTATTACAGTCGTTATAAATATTTTTAAAAGAAATTAATTTGTTTTTCGTCTTTCGGTTTATTTATTAACGTATTAGTAAAAACACTGCAAACACTTATGCATTCATGTGTATATTTTTCAGAAATTTTTCGTCACGGCCTTCTCGTTGCAACTACACAGAGTGTGTTGAAATAAGTATTGAATTTCGTATTTGTAATGGCTGCTTGTTATAATTTTAATTTTATTTTATTTTGTAAAAATTGAAATGCCTTTTCCTCGAATTTTATACGAAATAGAGACTATTTCACCGTCGATTGTGCACACGTTTCTACTGTTTTCTCTAGATCAAGTTCGGGAATTGGAGTTTGTGTTATAAGTGAACCGTAGTGATAAAAGAGTAGGTAAATTCCATTCAAAATTTTTGCATGTTTTTAGAGAAGAGGGTGGGTTTGACTTTTAACTTGAATCTCTGTTACAGACTCTTTGAATCAAGTTGAGTGTTGACAATAAGGTATATATATTTGTATTATGGACTGTGGCATATTTGATTTTTCGTGTAATTTGAAAAAATAATTGAAAAAACAACATCGGAATAAATGGAATATTTATAAACATTTGAAATTTTCGATTTTTTTTTGTAATAATAAACTTAAATTCATAATCACGGTTAACCGTGATTGTTTTTTTTTCTTAAATCTGGTTTTCTTCACCAAACCGAACCGAATATCTACTATCCTTTGAGGTCACATTGTGACGAATGACCATATATTATCACATGCTGTGAAACCATACAACATCATTGTGGGGCACTCTCGGTTGGCGAACTTAGCTGTGTGGCTAGGTACCGACAATCTTGTTATCTATACGTGTAAGAAAACTAAAAATCCTCTAAAATTTGTCACAAAGGTTTACTAGTTTTCGAGAGCAAAGTCTGTGAACGAACCCGGCGTTCACATTCGACAACGTATTTGACGTGTTACACCGTGCGCAATTAGTCGAGCTGGACTTTGGAAATATAACAATGCGTCCAATCTCCCAATAACTTCGGTAAAAATCTTTTTATCGTTTCGCATAGTGTTTATAGTTTATTAAACATTTTTATTGCCATAAATATTTTAGATTAAACGTGTCCTTATTTTTATTGTTTTTAAATTTTAAGCGAAGAGAAGAACGTATCGGTTTTACTGTGATGCGTTCCATTCTCGTGCCTGTAAAGAATTTGTTTGACAAAAATATGCGTTTCTAGCGCGTATTAACAACGATGGCTCATACGTTTTAGAAGTTATAAAGTGAATGATTGGAATAGCGAAAAGATGTTTTTGGAAACATAAAGTAATCCTGCGCAGAAATATTAACTTGAAAACAAAATCGAGAACATAAAATACCTACATATTTTCTATACTGACGTATGCCTGTGAATCAGCTACATAAAACGAAATGTTTTTGAAAAAAAAAATCCATATGTAAACGAATAACAGCATTCGAGGACCAATGTTGCAGAAGGATATTTTGGGGATCGACTGGACAGGAGAGATAACGCAGAGTTGTCGAGAAGAATTTGTACGTCTACTGTTCGAACTACTGTCCGAAATAAACAAGAGCGAACCAGCGTATTACGCGGGACATTTTATGACAAAGCGGACGTTGCTCACTAAATATTTCATAAAGAAGAATCGTCGGAGGACAGGGGGGGGGGGAGACAGATCGAAGACAACGGTGAAAATTCGAAAAAAAAAAACACATTGAGGAACGGATCGAAATCAATACTTTTGCAGAATGTCGGCGATCGTCGGATAACGGAAAGGAGCGGGGATTATTTCGGGCATTAGGGACGCCCGAAAAGGCGCGTCCGGCGAAAGCGGTTTGAACGCAACGGCGTCCGGCGGTTACGCGCGCGGTATGTTTCACTACGCGGACGGTCGCGGACGAAAACGCGTCCGACCGAGACGTCCGGTTTTAATTGGCGCCGGAGTAGGACCGCGGTGAAAACGTTACGCCGATACGAACGCGGCGCGTTTGTGCAAACATCACGCGTCGACGGCGTTGATATTTATAACGTGACGTTAGTACGCGCGTAATAGTTTGACGATCGGCGATAACAATTGTACGACCGTGCAACGCCGCACGGCGTCGACGGCGAAACAAAACACGAAACAGCGCAGTGAATTATGTAGTAATTTTTTTGTTTTTGTTTATTACAGGTGTGTGGTTAAGTTCTAAAATGATATTAGGTATGACGGTTACAATAATAACGTAATGTACACACCGTCACACGGCGCCGGGGCGTCGCGTTCCGGTATAATGAGTTATAATAATAATAATAATAATAATAATAATAATACGTGATAATACATTTTTTAAATATATATATATATATATATAAATATAATGACGCGAATAATTAGTATTATTATTATAGAGCTGTTGTTGTTGTTGTTGTTTTTTATATATATATATATATATATATACATAATTAATACATCAATGACACGTATATGTAATAAATGTTAGTAACAATAGTCGAAAATTGGTCGTTGTACATCATTTTTTTTTTTTTTTTTTTTTTTTTTTATTGATCCGATAAACATTCCCAGTATATTTATCATAATAATAATAATTAATAATAATAATAATTAATAATAATAATAATAATAATAATATTAATAGTAATAATATTAATAGTAATACCGCGGATACACAGTATCGTCGTGTTCAGTATAATTTAGGTGGGTATAATAATAATCGTAATATAAATATTATTAACGACATTGCGGGTTCGTAGGTACAACAACGATATTATTAGAATAATGACAGTATAATATTGTAATAGAACGCGGCTATATATTGTAGCGTGGATAAAAATTTTTTTTTTTTTTTCAAAAAACGGGAATATTAATTAAAATAATATACGACATTGTTAGGCGTATTATTTATAATGATATTAGTATTGCCGGATTGCGTAAACGACCAATGGAACGTCGGGCCGTCGAACCGATAGGACCGTCGTAATCGGCCCGGCAAAACAACGATTGCGGGTCGCCGACGAAACGGCATTTGTCCATTCGACAATTAACGCATTGGCGACCGGCCTTTTTTTTTCCGCGGGGGGGGGGGGGGGGGGGGGGT